TATATTAGCGGCAATTTGTTCACATTGTATTTATGAGTACATGTACTTGAAATAATATCAAATAAAGTTTCTCGAAAGCTAAACCGTTTTCTGTTAACATTAGCTCAAAACTCCGCATTTTCAGAAACGCTCAAACGCCATTTTTCTCGAAAACAATTCCAATTTTTTTCTTCAAACATTTCGAACGGATAGTGCTAATTGCACTCTTTAACATGACGTAAAGTTCATTTAAGGGTATTTTTTGATTTTGCAAAAATTGCACAAGTGTATTTTTTTACTTTGTTGTGTGCGGCGCAAAACGACGAATTTTCGTCAGAAAAAGTATTATAATCGGGCTCTGGTAACGAAAAAGTGGATAAATCCTGTTGCTATATTTAGGGGGGGGGATCCTCCGACACACGGTGAAGCCATAATCCATGTTTTGTTGGTTCTTGATACCGAAAATTCGATTCACTGCAAAACGACCGTCCGGCTGCCCGTGGTAAACCCATGCGGCTAAACCGTTCAGGCGATTTTCTCCAAAATTGAAATTCAGTAATTGATCTAACTGATGTCGCGGCCACTGGATTTTGAAACTTTAATTTTGTGTGGAATGTTACATCAATTTCCTCAGACATTTGCAAAATGTTCTAAAAGACCGTTCCAAAATTTTGATTACATTTTGTTGTTCAATATTGCGATTGTTGTCTGGTGCCTTTGTTGTTCAATATTGCGAAAGACGTTTAAGAGAATGGTGCAGATCTCATTTTCGATGATACGAATTACGAAAACTGCGTAAAAATTACAGAACAAATAAAATATTACAGACAAAAAATGTCGCTGAGTAGTGGGGCAAGTATGATGTGGATCAGTGGCGACATAGACCTACGTGATATTCGAGGAGTGCCCTTGTGCTATTCACTGGGAATATTCTCAGAGCAGCGATAGGAACCGCGAGAGGTCTCGGTAGATGATTGAAGCACTGATAGACAGCAGCTACGAAGAGGATAGAACGAAACCATAAAGCTAATTCCGATTCTGGAGATAAGGAAACGAACTTATACGAGGAAGCCTGTACCATTTTATAACACTTTTTTTTATTATCGTTAATTGGTTTACTAGTTGAATAAGCAGAATTTGAATTTGTTTCTAAACAATATTCTTTCGCATGCTGGGCGCGCTTTCATATGCGTTTGCGATGTACTCGTACATAGACTTGTTCTTTGGGCACTCTGCTAAGTCCATACTTGCCCCGAATCTTGAGCGTGTGATCCACGTAGGTGGAACAGGGCATCAATTGATGTCACCGCAATGCCTCTGACCGGGAGGTCCTAGGTTTGAGTCCCGGCCTTCTATAGGTCGCAGTGGCGGCTCTTGCTTAGGTTGCACGGTTGCACAACCCTCAGATAATCAAAAGGTTTCCTACGAACATACATTTTCTTTTTAATGGCATTCAATATTTAAGATATTACAGCAATATTGATTTATATGAAATCATTTTGAAACCAAAGAGCGTCCATCCGGCGCTCTCTCCGTTGTCTAGTGCCTTGCCGGGTAATGCTCCACACTCTCATCTCTTGGCTTATTACTGGGCTTACTGCGTTCACTCTTTGGCAAGTCGATTTATCACGGAGAGGATCTTGGCTTTTGGTTGCACAACCAGCTGGCGACACTGTGTAGCGCTGCGCGGCGACCGAGGGAATCTCAGGGGAATCCCAATATCGTCTTCGTCTGACTGCAACATCATTTTACACATTTTGCTTGTTGAAAGTCCACAAGTTCAGTCTATACTCGCCGGAATCGAATTCATTATTTATCTCTATTTGGCCAAATTATGTTCATTCAATGTAAGATTTGTTGATTAAAAACGTTCGTTTGAAGAGTGCAGTGTTTTGTGTAAAGTTGGCCGTTGTGGAAGAAATCCCCTTTCTTTCCCTCTTCTTACGTACGCAATACTCTTCCGCCGACTCGACGGGAATTTCCTGGTCATTTCGGGAGCTTCGTTGTGTGTAGTGAGTACAAAAAGTGTGTGATGGATATTTTATTATTTAAGTGTTGTTGTTGCTGCTGTTGCTGTCGGTAAAGGACATACCAAAGAGTGACAGCTTCTGCATGAGAGTTTTATTTTTCTGACAATTAATGCAGTGCTAAATTTATTAAAATTCCCTTAGGTTCACGCCCTATTTAGAAAAAAACTAGAAATTAAAAGACTCGGAAGGCCTACTCCAGGTCTTCAAAAGTTTCCGTAAACGGTAAAACCAGTAAAAAGAAAATTCAACCGAAAATTCAAAAATGATTTTCACAATAATTACGAGTTGTTATGTGGGTGTGATTCGAAGATAGGTATGTTTTGCTTTTCTTGTATATTGTCTAGAGGTGAATATACTTGGACAAAAACTGGCTTTAAATAGTTAAAGCACTTAATAGATCGACTGAAAAAACATGAAGCTTCTGGAACTCACTTAAATACCAGTAACGTAACTCACGTAAATTAAACCAAAAACGTACTCCACATTTTGAAATAATAATTATTGTATATCTCTTTAAGAAGTGTAGTTTTGAATATGCTAATACAAATTTCACTTTAGGAGAGAACACATTCATGAAAAAAAGACATTTTCCATCATTGAAATGTATACCAAGGTAGTGAAATATTCTAAATACAATAACTTTATTTCGCTATCACCATTAGTGTCAGCAATAACAACAACTTAGGTCATGAAATGAATATAAAACGAGTCTAAACAACAACTTGTTGCGAAGTGCGATTTTAATTGTACGAATACTATTTCCTGACAATGTCTCAATGCAGAACTAATACAAACACGTGTGTGCTCACTGGAAATAAAAGCAAGAACCATGTGCGCGGGAGGAGAACATCCCCGACATAGATTACGCATAAAATTATGTACGTAGTGTTTGAATATAGACATATTTAACTTAGTTTTATTTAATTGTAATGTTTTTTTACCTTAATAAAACACTTTGATATATTTTTTAGCAATGTATTTCTTTTTTGACGTTCCTATCCTATGTGGGGTATTTAAAAAATCGAGTGTCCAGGTTTGTTGAAACCACATCATAAACAAACAAAAGTTTAATAAAAAAATTGCCAATGGTATAAAAAACTTGTCAAGACGTGGACATCATCTGGTCAACAAGTATGACAAAAGTCGTTTTTAAAAATTTGTTCCAGGTTCATCAGAGTTTACATATGATCATTACTAATAAGTAAACAAAATAACAGACGTAAATATGTCCATTAACTTTGTTTTAATTCATTTACGTGAATTACGTTTTATACGGTTAAGTCTCCCGCAGAGCGGCGCGGCAATGATACGCGGGACCGTTTTCGCTGGAGCGTCAATTATGACTCAGCGTTTGGTGACAGTTTTCCTCATCCGGTAAGCAAAGTGCGAGGGAACTCGACCCAGAGGGGTGTGAAGATTCCGACGGCGGGCGGACTTTCACAAAACTTGAGCGGCGGCGGTCGAATCGCGTCCGACTGCCTTTCAAGACTTGCAGGTCATAAAACGCTGCCAATCCGCTGCCGCGACGCTCGCCTGCCGCGCAGGTCTGAACGTGCTCACGAGGCAACGCGTGACGCGACATTTGCACTGCGGCCAGTCCGCGTAGGCTGCGGATCTTCCGCGCGGATGTGGGATGTTATATTCCCGTCATTCCATGCAGATGAAAGGCCCAGTTTGATGGGGCACCAACGGCCACTGATTGGTCGTCAACTTAACCAATCTCGCTCACTCCTCACCCCCATATAAGACGGCCTTGCTAACCATTTAGCAGCTGTATGCTCCCAGGAAAGGCACAACTTTTTTGACCGAAACGTCAGCCACCAAAATAGAGACACTGCTCATCCCGAATAGCCTAAAAAATAACTCCAGCTGCGGAAGCCTACGCAATCAGGATACATTTTAGTTTGACGAAAAGACAGAATAAAATAAAATAACTATCAGTTCATGCTGAGTGTTTTAGACCTTTCTTCCAGAATTTACAAAAAAATTGAATCAACCAGCAGCCGCATCAACTTAACCTCAAAGGGTTTCAATTTTAAACTGGGAGTTTAGTCAGTTGACGTATCTATTCTCTTACACTGTGGTTGTTCTGCCCGAATGTCGTTATCTTTTGACAAGAAAGCTGTGCCTTTTTCGTTCTCAGATGCGTCCGCAGCCCAGATCACTGATCTGCAAGGGTGAACATGTTCGTATCTCTTCTATGCATCCTCTATGGATCATTTTTGTTTTCTTTGGAACAAAATCGTTCTTACTTCGAAAGGATGGAATACCGATAATTCATACTTCGAAAGCCTGTTTAAAAAAGCTTCGAATTTTAGTGAACCAAACTCAGTAGCGAGCTTTAAAATTAGAGAATATTAAAATTCTGAACTTTGTTTGAATCTTGTGACTGCATGGGGAGTGCGTTCGATTTCCACTTAATATAAAGATGACATTTGACTCTTCTAAGAAAGAGAATAATTTTCATTGGAGGCAAAATTTTAAGGAAACCACAAACTATTTTTTGTCAAGAGTTTTTAAGCATTCTTACACAGCAAATAACTCCATCAATAGAATGTATCATGTTATTGATAAATTTGATATTGATATTTTTATTGATAATGTCGCTAACTTTCAATGCAAATTGCGAAGCAAAATACAGAAATTTGAACAATCAATATGTTATCTCTTATTTATTGTATTTTTACAATTTTATAGTTACCTTTTAATTTCTAATTTTTCTTCGTGTATGATTTTGTTGTATGCGGTGCTATGTAATTTTCTTGTGTATGTAATAGGACTAATTGTTCGTTGACAAAGAAATATATAAACATAGGAATTTAGCTCCCTTTTTTAAAAGTGTTCAGTGTCCGGCTTCTTCTAAAGTATAATATCACTTTATTATGCATATTGTTTTGGGTTATAGTGACAAGTAGGCGAGACGCGTTAAATCCAACTGCAAGGTGATTCCATCTGTGTTGTTATTTAATATCTCAATTTTTTCTTTTTCAGAAAATACCAATTGAAGAACTGGCAATATCCGGATTTCACACACATTCTTCAATGAAATAATGGAATTGAATAGAATTAAAATGGAAATAACGGAATTAAAATTATAATATTGAATATTTGTAATATGATACTCTTATTTACAGAATAACATCGATTAATATAACAATAAAGCGGACGAGCTTTGTCCATCATATATGTTACTCAGATCTTTCTCATTGCCTTGTCTATTGTTGCTAATAAAAATTAAATAAATTAAGCGATGTTTCGACGCTCACAGGAAGCTCTCCTAACCATTCGAGACAGATTAAAGGGAAAACCTTCACTGTTCAATAGCGTAGACTGACTCAAGCCAAGAAGGCCATTGGAATATTGAAACAATCAATTGTTTCCGTAGATCTGCATAGGGCATATCCAAAGCAGGGAGAAGAATGATTCAGAATGGAAGGAATAGCATATTCCAAATTATTTTTCTCCGAAAAAACAAGCAAGAGAAAAATCGAAATTCTGTTGAGCGATTCATTCCCGGCACCACGCAGCAACACATCTGATATCGAAATAAGAGAAGATAGTTTACGCCATGCTTTAGCGCTGAATGACATGTAAGACGTTCACGTGATTTTCAAAACGCATATTAATGGACTTTAATGACGACATAACTACAGTGATTGTATTAACGTGTGACTTAAGAGGACACACAATGGGCGCACATGTTCTTGCGCTCCAGAATTCGTACTACCTATTATTATACACACAGTGCAAAAATTGATCGTACACTTACAATGTTAGAAGCTAAATAATAATAATAATAATAATAATAAAACTTATTTTATTATTGCAAATGAGCGTACTCTCGGTGACAGTTAATCAAAAAAGAAGTACAAAAATAAAAACTCAGTCGCGGATCTAAGGGGGGATGGGAAATGAGGGAAATTTCTCTGCCTCTAAAATTTTTCAGTAACTATTAATTTTAACTTATCATAAAACTTTCAAGCAATTTTTTTGATAATCATTAAAATGACTAAACTCGTATCGCAGCATGAGTTGAGTGTTGCATCTGACGTTATACAAAATCTGTAATATACATATTTTACGAAAATATTTTGAATTTCCTCTCCCAAAATTCGTCTTTGGATCCGCCCCAGAAATTAGAACAAGCAATGCATACAAACATTGAAAGAAAAAAATAATACAAATAAACAAACAATAATAAAATAAAATAAAAACACAAATAGATAAGAATAAAAGCAGATCAAGTGTGCCCGTCACTACTCCGTGACCAACAATGCACTTCACGTCATTGGATTTTACTTCGATAAGTAATAATTTATTCATTAACGGAAAGAATATATATCGCACTTCGCCCACACTTTTGATAACCACCTTTACTGCACATCATTGTATTCTACATCTGCGCTCTTAAGAAATCTCGAACGCGTAACTTGCGTGCTTTAGGGAAGGGTCGCCAGCACCTCTGCAGGTAAATTATTCCAACCAACAATGGTCCTATTCACAAATCTGAATTTTCCTAAATTTGTTCTTTGCATTTTACATTTTATTGCGTGTGAATGGCAGTGGCGGCTGGTGTCCCAATAGACTGGAGGTTGAACCTCTATCGAATGACAGTAATGTAATTTCCAAAATTCAAAATACGAAAATATAATAAAAATGTAAGCAATTCCAATTAATTAAAAATAAGTAAAAGTCTATATTGAATCATTACTTACATAATTTTATGCGTCGTGATTGAGTCAGGCATATTCTATACCTCTCGCGCACGTGGCTCGGGCTTTGATTTCCACTCCAGCACATCGCAACGTGCACTGTTGCTTCGACGCGTTACATACAAATAAAATTATTTTATTTGTCAAATATCACAACCCGGATATTTTGTAATAAAGATCCTTCCATACACACGCTCATTTTTCATCAGAGCTCTCCGTGGTGTAACTGCAGCCTGCAGCATCTACCGAGGAAGGGACTTCCTTCCAGATCAGCCAACTTTACACAAAGAATACATCAAGTGTACACTTTAAATCAGTGAATATAATAACAAATGAAAACAAATTCTTTAAACATCATAAATAATGCATTAAATGCCGTCAATACGGAACGACGGAGACAGCGGATATGACTTTTGCCATCAGTCGTGAAAGAACGACCGCGCTAGAAATCTGACACCGGTTGAGAGACGATAGAAAACCTATTCCTAACACTCCTTAACAATTCAAAATTTGAATAGTATGTGAGTTCTGCATAATGTTCCACCAACTGGCGAAATGTTGAACATGTTTGGAGCACTGACTTCCTACACCGGATGTCCCGCGAAAGGGGAACTGCCTTCCCACGGAAGACTGACAACGACATTTCAGAGTTTCGCCAGTCTGTGAGTGTGAAGGTCACGGAGGACATAGTTATTTTTGCTACGTTTGTATTAATAAGCAAGACGGGATATCGGGTGGGGATCTCAACCTCTCTTGATATCTTTCGTACCAGCTACGAGTCTGGAGAAAATTAGCATACCACTTGAACGAAAATAACTTCAAAACATTTTAAATAGATGACTTTAATATTAGAAATTAAGGATTCTTTTATAAAAGGTGTATTGAATTATTATTTGTAAACAAAAACAGACCTTCAAATGAAAATTAAATTGAAATATCAATTGCAAAACAAACACTATCGAACAGTTCGCTCCCTGACACCGTAGAGGGAACACCTCCGTTTGTGCCTCCTCTTGTCGCGTTCACGAGTGCAGTGTTATCAGTTGTGTATTAGTGTTTTTGTCACACCAAATAGGAACCAACACTAATATAATCTAACATCTATTTAAAGTCAGCCTAACGCGGCTGACAATAATGTTCTTCAATGTAAACAACATCTTAACCAAACTTCCGATGGATCCAGCTCCTGAAAATCAAGCAAAGACTTACGCCAACGCTACTGTGAGTGATGTATTTCCTACCAAAGACCAAGGAGTTATCATAGAAGCCCACGAAGGTATTTCAATAAAAGAATATATTACTAAACTCGCTACAATAATGAACCCCAATGACATTAGATTCGTGTCGCGCATATCTAATAACAGAGTTTGTGTATTTCTAAACACTAAGAAAACAGCAGAGTACCTGACTAGCAACTACCCTACGTTAACCATCAAGGATCATAAAATGAATGTCAGACCTTTAATTAATACGCTTAAGAGGGTAATAATTACTAATGTTTGCCCTGTGATACCAAATGATGTTATCCAACAAGATTTTTTTCAAAATATAATATCCATATAAAGTCCAATATCTCATTTATTAGAACTGGTATACCTGAACCAGGATTTACACATATTATGAGTTTCAGGAGACAGGTGTTAGCAATCGACCTGAAGATGTTAGCAAACTTCTAGAATCAACCACTATATTGTGTAACGTCATATGTAGTGATCTACACCACAAGGAGACAGACACGAGTGAGTATATACAAGTTTTATTTACACAATGTACATATTTACAACTCTCACTCTAAGGCGGTTCGCCTTGCGGCGACGCCTGCGACCGGCCTGCTAGGCCGCCTCGCAAATTGGCACCTGGTGTGCCCCGGCAGATTGACGATCTGCGCGAATGTGATTAAAGAACACATCACCCTGTCCGAACTCGTCGAACAACCACGTGCCATCGGCACTCCGCACCAGCCTGCGCGAAGTTTTTGTGGTCTAGCCACGAGGAAACCAGGAACGTTCCCCTTCGCGCCGTCTCGCCGCGGCGTCTTTATAGGTTCAGGTCACCTGACCTCCTACGTCACTACTCCCCACCCCCACGCGGTGGAAAGAGCCTTTCCCTGGCGCTGCCTGGCCCGCGGACCATTTCCTGTTGGAAAGTCCTGTCTTTGTTTGGGCGTCTATTTTTAGATCCCCCAATCCTCTACCTTGCACTCGGCTTGCTGCTGCCAAGCCGTTACGCTACAATTGTATGATGGTACCCAATACAGTGGCGGATCTGGGATTAGGCATCAGGGAGGGCACACAAAGTTACAGGACCAAATAAAGTTTCGAATTTTCCCCCCGGAAGACGGGCTAAACACATGATCTAAAAAATTAAATTGAGTCTTCTGTTTTTACATTCTGTAAATCTATTATTATTCGTACTAATTCTTTAAAATTAAATGAGTCTCGTAACAAAACTCTTTATAATGAAAACATACAAAATCCTTTGGAAGACTAGTGGAAAAAACTCTCTCGGATTCTTTTATACAGCACATCCAGCTCAGATTTCAGTTTGCTAGCTCACGAACGGAGAGAACTGTGAAACGCGATCAACATTTTGTAGGGGGGATTTTTCTTGATATTGTTGGAACGTTTTACAATCAAAGAGAGAACACATGGCTAAATTCCCCCTAAAATTAATATGGTCATTTACCCCTTTGAAATTTCCGTACAAAAGAACGATTGCCATTTCTATCACATTGTAAAATTTTTATATAAGGCCGAGGTGGTCCAATTCTCTTCACGCACAGCATTGTATCATAACCACATTTTCTGATTTCAGGCATTTTAGAGAACTGCATACCATTCCCAAATGTACACGTAAGCTTCCGCGCCTCGAATCCATAAATTCTCGGCTATCCGGGAGACGTCGCGACGTTAGCTGGGAGGCCTACCAGCCAACGGTGAGGCATCTCGCGGATAGCCGAGAATTTTAACCATTCTCAATCTCAATGCACAATACGAACTGGACGCAAAGATCGGAACACAGCATTCACATAGTTTGACTACGGATCGGAAAGATGACGCCGACCATGCCTATTGCACACTACTGCACTGAATGCTTGCGAAAAGGGAGATCAGTTAAACATAATACCAGCAGATAGCACTGGCCTGGACGTAAATCAGGCGAAAGAAATATTGTAAGTTTAAAAATCGATCAATAGATAGCGCCGGGCAACGTGGTTGCTACCTCCCCTGCCAGGCTGCTGGGCGGCGGCCGTCACAAGACGCCATTTGCAGAACCTACGTTGCCATTCGAGCACTCGTTGGCGGCCATTTTTGTCAGTACGTTCCTTAACAACACTGCGTTAAGGACACAGAGGCAAGTGTCCGCAGCCAATGAAAATCGTTCTACGGAACAAGTGGAAGTTTGAAAGCTAAAGATGCGTTCGATTTAAAAACAACCCTACAGACCCACAGATATTATTTTACACAGCGCAAGACAAT